AGAAATTGAAATACTGGGCTGTCCAGCAAAGTATTACTGAAGATCTATAAAATTGAGACCTAAATGATATCAGAGTCCTTGAAAAGACAAGGTCATGGCCATGGAACAGAGGATGGGATGATAGTTTATCAGGTGCAGAGGTTGTATTTGAGAGGCAAGATGAACCAGTGGAAGAGACTGGTATAAGCTTCACCACACAGAGCCTAGAGAGTTCTATAAGAAGTCAGCACTTCCTTCCGATGGAACAGAATGTTCTCCTGAAAATGCTTTAAGCCCTAGGAGGATGTGGCTAGATGAGAGCTTTGGATGTCCTGACCACTATTCAGAAGTCAAAACACGGGGTAGGCACAGAGGCAAGAAGCTGGTTTGGAGTCTGGCGTACGGACCCAGACCAGAAGAGTGACTCAGAATTGAATGGACACGGGGCAGATGGTGAGAAGTAGCCATGCACAGGATGGGTGTTGAAGGCAGAGAGGACAGGAGGACAGACATGCGGATAGATTAGATACAGAGTGTGACTGGTCAGGAGTGGGGTGTGAGGGTGCGAGAGTCGAGATGAGCTCTCTGTTTGACCCCAGCAACTGCTAAACACTACTTCCCAGGCCAGACAGCAGGCAGAGAGGCGTAGGTGGATCCAGAGTGTGTTACAGCTGAGATGTCTGTTAGATATTTGCAAAGTACATGAACAGTAATATGTGGTGCCAGGGAGAGTTCTAGATTGGAAGTTAAAATTTCAGATAAAAGTATTCTTAAGCTATGGTAGCTGATAACAGCACCCAGAGAAACAGAAGGTTAGATAAGAGGCCCAGCTCTTCCGCAGCAGTGCATCTGAGGAATGTGCATACCACATTTTCTTCTTGGAGATTCCCAGCATACCCTATAGCACATCAAATGCTCCTGATAAGTCCTACAAGCCAGGAAAGCAACCATGCTAAATCTTTCACTTAGGACTTCCCAAATGTATTTGCTCCTGATATTCTTTTTCTGTCTAATACTAATTAACATGCCATGCATCAAGCAGGTCAAAAACACAAGTGAAGTCTTTGGGAAAAGTGTGGGATCTGTGTGCCACAGGCCTAGGAGAACATCTGGAACAGGAGTCAGTTTCTGCAGTAGTGGGCCAGGGAGGTATTTACATTTTCACCTCTCCAATCACCACACAAGAATTACTGTGGACAATATGCTGATGTGTGGACACAGCCCTGTTCTATAGCACTGCAGGCCAGATGTGGCACATGGGCCACGGATGTCAATGTCACTCCCTGGTGTGGATAAGAAGATCCAAAGGAGGCAAAAGGCTGAGAGAAATGACACCAAGAAGGGCAAAGGTCATGGAAGAGATGATGGGGGAGAGTGAAGAGTCAGCTGGCTGGTGGAAGGTGGACTTGCTCCTCCAGTGGGGAATCATCTCAACAACCCAGGCAGAATGGAGAAGTTGAGTGAGTGCTGTGATTTCGATCTGAGCTGGCCCTGCAGGCTCATGTTTTGAACACCTGTTTTTCAGCTGGTTAGTGCTATGTTGTGAGGCTGTGGAAACTGTTGATGAGCCCCTGGCGGAAATAGGTGAGTACAAGCTAGCTGTGTTGAAGGTGATAGCCCAGGGTCTGATGCTGTCTGCTACCTGATCCACCAGGATGTGAACAGTTGCCCTCCACCCACAGGCTTCCACTGCCATGATGCTCTCTGCTCGAGTGCCTGAAGCTGAGTAACTAGAACTGAAACTTCCAAAACTGTGAGCCAAAATAAATCCTTCCTCCCTGAAGTTGTTTCTGTCAGGTGCTGTGGTTATAGTCATATAAAAAGTAACTAATGCAGCTCCAGAATCCTATTCTACAGATGGAGACACAGAGACTCAGAGGGTTAGCAACCTTACTGGGATGCCAGCCCACAGCAGCTGAATCTGAGAGAGTGCTGTCTGTCACACTAGGAGGCAACCTAACCATTCATGGGAGAATACAAGAAGACAGGCCTGCAGCCAGACTCTGCCTCTATCCTCAGTAGGGTTTTACCAAAGCCCACTTCTGTCCCTTGCCCAGCCTAGAACCCAGCCCATGGCCTTCCAGCCCAGTCCCTCTGCCAACCATGCCCCACCCCCTCTGTCCCTGACAGGTGAAAGAAGCACAAAGCTGATCTGTGAATTAACAAATACCAGTCCCTCCATTGCTCATGACAGCAAAAAGAGATCCAAAAAAACACTGATATTTATTTATCTCGTGTTTTCTTTTAGATCTAGGGATGTGACAATAACACGTGTCACCATCAGCCCAGGCCCTGCTGGCAGGCAACACCTTGAAAACTATGCAGAAGTTCAGAAAATAAACAGCAGTCACTCTGATTCCAGTGATAAAATGCTGGTGTAAGGCGAGCCTCCTGGGATCCATAATCTGGAATCGTCAGGGGATTGGAATTGTCTGTCTTTTTGATGAAAGATGTCAGCTACCCTTCTGGGTCTGAAGCAGAAAGAAGAGCCTGAGATTCCAACACTGCCTGTGTGCCACCAAGTCTGTGTTCAGTCAATGTACATCCTGTGCCCATCAATATCCTTAAAATTTCTTTATCAGAAGAAAACTCAGCTAAATCAGAGCCACAGAAACACATTCCAAAGTCCTTGTTCTGCCCAGAGAGCTTGCTTCATGAAGCCTGAAGTTTCTTGATTGCTACTCCATTCAAAAAGCCTTCAAAGACACTCCAGAATTGGTGATTATTATTTTTTTTAAAGGCTCAGGACTAATTAACCTCATGAAAGACTGCTCTGTCGTTTGTGGTCTGTGGTTGTTATATGGCTTGTTTTGCCTTGAAAAATGCTGCAATTGCTTTTTTCTTCCTCAATTGAAATTCAACAGGGGGAAAAAAATAGCCCAATTAGGAATCATCAGCAGACTGCCTCACACATAACAAACCCTGAAGAAATAAATATTTATTGAACTAGTGAATGAGTGACTGAGTATTAAACAGTTGCCAAGATCGGAACAGACTATAGAGCCAAAAGGAGTCAAGTAGTCACTGCTGATCTAGACAAGCTAGAGCACTGTGTCCTTGTGTCCACCACTCCCAGCTGACCTCTGGAACACTGTAGGAAGTTGTTCATTCACACAACAAACATGTATGGTGAATCCACTCTGTTCTGGGCTCCCTGACAGGTGCAGAGGTGGTACAGAGCAGGGAGCCACAGTCCCTTACCACCTGCTCAGGGTGGGAAGGCAGACAAAATAGGACACACAATTGATACAGACTGACTATGAACATAAGCCCCATAGACTCAAATTTTGAACGCTAGGTCTCCAGCTGGTGGCAGCATTATGGAAGGCTGTGGAAACATCAGAAGGTGAGGCCAAACTGGAGGAAGTAGGTCACTGGCATGGAGCTTAGAGGTGTATTATCTCTGGCTGCTTCCCCGTCTCAGTGCCTTCTTCCTGTTCAGACAGGAAGTAAGGAACTGTCCTCTGCCACATGCTCCTGCCACCATGATGTTTTGCCCAAGGACATGGAGTCAAGTGACCATGGACTAAACATTCCAAAATCATGAACCAAAGCAAATCCTTCCTCCTTTAAGATGCTCCCTCAAGTAATTTGGTCACAGTGATGCCAAGGTATTAATAACTAATATACAAAATAAGAAAAGAATTTAGGTTTAAGTAAGTGCTAGAATGGAAGTTAACAGGTGTTAGTGTGCTCTGCCTGGGGAGAACCAAGAAGTCACTCTGAGATAAACAGTGTGAACACCTCTATCACAGGGTCACTGGGTGTATGTGACAAGACAGATGACTTCAGAGTAGTCAGCCTATGTCTGGTCAGAGGCCAGAGCAGGTGTTCCATGGATCCTAGTTCCCATTTATTTAATACTGTGAGACAGAGCCTCACTCAGAAAACCCCCGATGGCTGCAGATGGACAGGAAGCAGGTGGATCTATAAAGTGTTCACACTAAACCCTGCACGCCAGTCACTTTGCACAAGAACCAAGCCAGGCACACAGTTTAGGCCTGTAATCCCAGCTACTGGGGGAGGCGAAGCAAAAGAATCTCGCACTCAAGACCTACCTGAGCTACAGATAAAGTTCAAGCCCAGCTTGGCAGCTCAGTGAGACCCTGTCTCAAATCACAACGTAAGAAGTCTAGGGGTAGGTTTAGCATGGTGGAGGGTGCTTGCTTGCATGAGGCCCTGGGTACAGTTCCCAGGACTGCAAAAACAACAAACCAAATCCAAAGACAAACAAAACTCTTGGCTGACAAAAGTCAGCCTGCTGCCCAAGTCCTGCAGTAATGGGAGTTGACCTGTCAGAAACGAGCCAGCGCTGCGGGCTTGAGACTAAAGACTACCCTGCCTTGCCCCGTAGGGAATTCACCACCACATGTGGGGTAGAGTCCCTTTCCATTGGGACTGACTTCCGGGGGTAGAAGTACACATTATCTGCTGGCCCTACACTGGCCCAGCATCTACCCACCTTCATAAGACCAATTGTGTCAATTCCCTCACAGGACTCTAGGCCTTTTATTTATCTTAACAAGTTAATCAGAGCACACAATGTGTCAGCACTGTGCTGTTTTTCTTTCTCTGGTTATGCTAATTGTATAAATATGCCCAGAGCTTTGATGGAGCTTCGAACCAACAATAAATGTCCCATTCGGGGAGTGTTCTATGGCTATTTCAAAGCAGGACACGTTGCTCCCAAACCTAGCAGTCCCTGCTCCCTTGATAACCTGGCACTATTTGAAGACTGAGCCTTTGGAAGCACCCTCAAAACCCAGGACCTGCACATTGGCAAGGAGAGATGAGGGAGAGACAGGAGGAAGGATTCTATAAAAGGCAGCTGTCCCTGACTTGTGTTCTAATTCCAGAAAACACCAAGTCCTGTTACTGGGCCCGGATTCTGTCCTAGGGCAAGTGTCCAAGCTCAGGGCTTGAGTGCTGGCCACCTCGAGGGCTGCTTCTGCCAGGCTCCGCCCTGACCCTTCTCAGCTGTGATTCATGGTGAGGTGGCAGGAGGCTGTGGAGCTGAAGCTGGTCCCTGGGAACCAATGATAAATCTGGAGTGTGTATCACAGGTGGCGGAAGAGAGGAGGGTAAAGCGAAGTGAATGTGTCTGTGTTTCATTCTGAAATGGTGAGTCTGGGGGATTTCCTGTTTTATGTGTGCTGCATGCCTCCTCTCAGCTTTAACCCTCCCGTCTCCTCCGCCTTTGTGTTCACATCTCAACCTATAAATTTCATTTTAATAAAGGAGGTGTCTAGCTAAGAGATAAAGCGTTTTTTAAGGCTACACACTTCTGTCCCTGCCCTACCCCCATCTTTCACACAGTCTGTCTCTAGCCCCAGACGTCCCCTCATGAGTGTGCTAAAAAGAAATGCAATAGGCCACTGGACTTTCAAACTTTTTGCAGTGAAAACAAAGGCAGCAGCAGGACAGGGAACACTGGACTTGGAGCTAGAATAGACTGAGAGGGGCTGGAGAGCCAGGGTGCTGGTGAGCCAAGGTCCAGAAACAGAAGCCAGTGAGCTCAGGTCACCAACTTCAGCTACCCTTGCTCATCCCCACCCACTGAACTCTGATCCACCTGTTGGCACAGCTGGGAAGTGTCCTGATGTCACGTTCCTAATGCTCTTCCAAAGCTCAAGTTACAGGCTGTGCTGGGGTGCTGCACACAGCCTGGGCACCACCACCTTCCAGACCTTTCTGCAACTCCTCAGTGGCATTCCCCAGTGCTGACTACAGGTTTCCTGGTCTAGGGCCAGGTTCCCAAGCCACCACCCTTTGCTAACGTGTCTCAGAAACCAGTGAATAAGTTTTGGGACCCATGCTGCCACATTCCCCACCCCCAGATGGCACCTGCCCACAAAGCACTTTACTTAGAATATTAACTTCAGGCACACAGGAGACTGCTCCAGGCATGTGAAGCATACCATAGACCTCAAGTATGTTCCAAAGGCAACTAGTCACTACACCATCCTGTTGCAAACACTCCCCACCAAGAGCGACTGTCCTCTAGCATGACCCCTTCCTCATCTGACCCTAGTTCACAGCTTCAGTTCCTTCATGGACAAATGTATTCAGTAGATAGATTTTTGCCAGGTGTGGTGGCGCATGTCTATAATCACTGCATTCTGGAGGCTGAGACAAGAGGATCAAAAATTAGAGTCACCCTAGGCTAGTGAGTCAAGGCCAACTTGGACCACCTAGCCAAATCCTTTCTCAATGCATCTACCATGTTAGATTTGCATTTGAACAGATGATAGAAATAAATAATAAATAGCTATTTCAATGACAATAATGAGGTGAAACTATCTTTTCAAATCAGTGTATTTTAATACAAAGGTTAAGACCATTTACACGTTGGAAGGTGTTTAAGAGCCAGCCAGTGGCATAAGGCAGTAAAGGCAGAGACTACATTGCAGGATGGTTGAGAGCACAGAACTGAACCTCAACCCCAGCTCTAGTTCTTGCTAACTGGGGTTCCCTCTCTGTCCTCTCTGCCAGTCCCTTGAGGGAGATGCAGCTTAGACTGCACAGAGCCACATCATACAGTGTGGCAGCACGACCACTGGAAGCTGCAGACCTTGGAACTAAGCTGCTTGGCCTTTTTTTTTTTTTGTCTTTAGTTATTTAAATTTTTTTTTTTTACAATTAAAGTTAGTCCCTGTGGGGGAAAGCCGCTTAGACTGCCCAGAGCCGCATTATACAGTGTGGCACCACGACCACTGGAAGCGGCAGACCTTGGAACTAAGCTTCTTGGGCCTTTTTTTTTTTTTGTCTTTAGTTATTTAAATTTTTTTTTTTTACAATTAAAGTTAACAGTTTTAACAATATACAAAATGTTACAGTAATTCAGATTTTTGGCATAATGATTACAGATTTGATAAATACATTTTATATCTCATAATAGCGATGAAGATTATACAAAAGCTATTAAAACCATTATGAGAATAAATTCAATTGTCACTTAAATATCTAAAGCTATTTTCCTTTGCGTTCTTCCAGAATGATTTGCTCTTATTCTTTACCTTAATTGTAAAAAAAAAAA